TAGCTCGCAACATATCTTAAAAGAACCAATACTGATGTTAGTATGGATAAGACTTCCAGTCAGTTATTAGCCAAGCCCTGGAAAGGCCTCTTACAGGGCTCAGTGGAGGCCCTGAAAACAGCAAGGCAACAGCAAGGCCTGGCCAGGCAAAGCTCACACTTGGCAGCTGCCTGCCTCCCATCCCTCTCTTGGGGAGCTATCCCATCCCTATTCTGTGCGAGGCTGTGAGCCAAGACATCTCCTTTCCCCCCGCCAGAAGGAAAGAGGGAGAGCTACTTGGGATCAGAGCCCTCTCATCTGCTAGATGAGTGATTACATTTACAAAACAAAAAACGTAGATGTCACTCCAAAAAAACAGAGCCGCCAGCAGAGCCATTGTCCTTTTATTGAGCATCCTTCCCATCAACGCACATGCGCACTCAGGCAGCCTCATGCACGCAGGAGCACACTGTTTTGCGATGTTTCTTTTCCACTTAACAACCTATCTTGATCACTTTCCCGTTCGCTGAAGTATTCTTCTGCCATCTTGTTAGTTATTATATGCAGTGGTGTGTGGCTCTAGACTGTGGTTCTACCCCATTCCCTACTATGTTAGTCATTTTCTCCGTGACTGCTACAAAATATCCAACCCTCAGGACCTAAGGAAAAGGAGGTTTATTTTGCTTCATGTTTCAGTTTATAGTCAGCTGACTCCAAGGCAGAAGGTCCAGACAGAAATGAAGTAGGGGGAAGCGGAGGAGGAGAAGAGACAGATATCCCTTCCACGCCCGGCCTCCAGTGCCCCACCTCTTCAACCAAACTTCACCTCACAGCAAGGCGGCTAAATTGCCCTCCTCATCCTATCACCGTCCCTGGCTTTTCGAGCCATTTTAAATCATAACCCCTACTGTTGGGCATTTCTGCTGTTTCTAACTTTTCCCTATTACAAATGATGTTCCAATCACACCCTCTGCTTAATCTTAAATCCAAATCCTGTCTTCTCCTGACATAACACACTGCTCTTAATCATTTACTCTGTTGCAAACATGAATTTCAAATCCTTTCTGAAGAGCTGACCCCCGCCCCTATACACAGTCCTTTCTGAAAGAGAAGGAATATTCGCAGGCTTGGAAAGAAGGCAAGTTTCAATCAAGCCTAATCAGCTTCATTAGAGCTTTCTCCTTCAGTGAAAGTGAAGAAGGATGCAATGTTCTTGTGGAACAAATAGAAACCTTTACTTTCTGAGGGTGAGAGTGCAGGTGTATAGAAAAAGGAGTGGATCAAATCATCACATATGCAAATTTCCATTATACCATTAATGAAGAATGAAAGCAATGTTTCCTCATTAGAATATGTTTCTTCCACGTCTGTGCTACTTTTATCCCAAGATTAACCTTCTGCTGCAGTCTCTGTTGATCGATGCTTTCTCTAGGCTGTGCAATGGTACCACCTTGTGGCTGACACACACGATAATTGGAAGACACATGGCTTTTTAGTGCGTGAAGATAGAAGAAATATTGTTCAAGGGTCCCTGCAAGCCCTCCTGTAAGGAAATACAGTTTCCAAAGTAACGGAATGTGCACATGTTGTTTACTGACTTTTTAAAAAAATATTTGCACTTACTTAATAGTACGTGCTCAGAATTTCCTGTCCTCGATGGATAAAAGTCTGACATGAGTAGGAAAGTTTCAGAACCTTCAACTACACTAATGGGTCGGGGACTTAGCTCAGTGGCTCTCCTGCCTGCCTCACAAGTGCAAAATCCCAGTACAAAAAAAAAAAAAAAAAAAAAAAAAAAAAACACACACACACTAATTCTTGAGAGGAAAAACGCTTGTGTGACTACTTGGCTCTCCTGTTGTAATAGTAAACCATTCATAAGAAAGTTAGGAGTAGTGGAAAGATCACAAGAGCTGGTGTTAGAATAACCAGGTTCCAAGGCCAGCTAGTCAGTGTCAGTGAGCTCGAGCCACTTGACTTCTCTGTCACTGGCTGCTCATCTATTGGGTGCTGAGCAGTGAAATGGTCTGAAATCCACTACACAAAATATAAAACCTTATGATAGTTATTAAAAACAGCTGGATTAATGATCAGGATTTTTAAATTGTGTGTATGCTTTTTAAAGGCTCTCAGATGTGAGGCTAATGGCTGAGAGATCATTTCTGAAAAAAGGAGTAAAGGGTTCCTCTTGAGGGAAGATGTTAGGAAAGAAAGGCTAACAGGGAAAGGCTGAGAAAGAAAAATTAATCTCTTCAAGTGTCAAGTCTTAGGAGGATGCAAGGAGAGTGCACAGGCAGTGAAGTCTGTTTTCTTAGATGTAGCCTTAGAAAGAGCAATGGAAAATGATGCCCAGTTTAAAACAGCACATCTGGGTGTGGTGTTGTGCACTTCTAATCCCAGCACTTGGGAGGCTGAGGCAGAAGGATCAGTGCAAGCCAATATGGGCTGCATAGTGAGCTCAAGGCCAGCCTGAACTGCACAGTGAGGCCCTGTCTCAGAAAAAAAAACAAAAGAACAGAGGATTTGCATTGTTTTTTCTGAACATAAGAGCAAGGAAGAAATCACACACACACACACACACACACACACACACACACTCACAGACATATTTTTCTCTATCTGTATTTAAACTTCATAAGCCAAAGGTTCACATACAAAAGTGGAAGCCAAGCAAATTTGATTTTTGCAAGTCGTTTACCACAAGTGAAAACAATTAGCTTGTTTGATCTTAATATGCCACAGGGTACTGCATAAATATGCACCTAATAAAGAAGAAATGGAATTTTCAAACCATATGAAAAGAAAAATTCACCTCATTATAACCAAGAAGATCCAACTAGAAGACTATGAGATGTTGCTTCTCACCTATGAAATGTGAGGGGAAGTTTAAATGAAAATATTCAGTGCTGGAGAGGCTGCATAAAACACTCCAGTGCTCCTGGTAGACGTGTATCATGATGCTCCCAAATGTGCATGCCCAGGAGTCCACTGATGGAAGATACACAGTGTAGTGGTAAAGAATGCAGGCTTTGCTAAGCATGGTGGCACATACCTGTAATGTCAGCACTCTGGGAGGCTGAGGCAGAAGGATCTCAAATTCAAGTCTAGCCTGGACAATTTATCAGCTTAGTAAGACTCTCTCAAAATAAAATTTAACAAGAGGACTGGGGTACACATAGGTCAGGGCAAAGGCCCAGAGAGAAAGAGAGAGAAAGAGGGGGGCAGAGACAGACAGCACGCTCTGTAAGCCAAAGATCTCCTGAAATCGCCGATCAGCTCCACCACTTACCAGCCCAATAACTGGGCAGGAAATTGCCTAATCCCTTTATGCCTCAGGACCCTCACCCATGACACGGTCACTGCTCTCCATTTTACAAAGCACCTGGGCACTGCATCAGCACATGTGAGCTGTCCAGAACAACCTGATGGCATTAATGCTGTTATTATGTTTAGGGTTAGATAATCTAGCAATAACTTGAAAATTGTGATTGTTTAGAAAATGTTTATTGAGTAGCGCTGTAGGCTGGGTAACGGAAAATAAAGCAGTTATGGGATCCAAGGAGATGGTAGCATAATTGTTAAAAATGTATTCTCTTAAATGTTTATTTAATAATAATCATAGTAGCAATTAATATTATACCAGTAATAAAAATACATGTCTATAAAGTAAAAGCATACTGTAAATTACTCTGCAGCCAGAAAAACTTATGTAGGCTTAATTTCTTCATCTGGTAAAGAGACACCTTAGAAAATCAGCTTAGAATCGGAATGACAGAATATGAAAGGTCTTGGAAAAGTACAATCAAAACCAAATGCTATCCTAAAGGTGTACAGGAAGTGGGAAGGGTAAGGGAAAGGAAATAAGGGACAAGAAAAAATATGAGAAAAGGAAAAAGGGAAACAAAGTCTATAAATAGGGGAGGATGGAGAGGATGAAGGGAGAGCTGGGGTATGGAAAAATGAGAACCAAGACCTGTCATGTAAAGGTACAAGATCCCAATGATGAATGTAACTGTACTGTATACCTAAAATGTACCAATAAACTCAGTAAGATAAAAAACAAAATGCTATGTATTGCTATTTGCTAGGGTCTGTAGAGACTCTATGAAAATAATTTTAGTGCACACTTACTACCTGCCAGAAAACGGGCATATATTATCTCATTTAATCTTCAGTCTAAGTCACCAGATTTAGAAAATAAAACTACCAGTGAAATTTAAATTTCAGGTAAACAATGAAAACATTTTTTCTAGTATGCAATTATTTGAAGTTTATCCGAGATACTTAAGACATAGTCATTACAATTTTACTTGTTTATCTGGATTAAAATTTCATCAGGCATTGTGAATTTTATTGGGTAATCCTACACTGATCCCATGAAATAGGTACAATAATAATATGTTAAGTGAGGAAAAAGGGAAGGGGGAGAGAGAGAAGGGAGGGAGAGAGGGAGGGGGAGAGAGAGAGAAAGAGAGAGAAAGAATATGAGAGAATGAGAGTGTTTAGTTTTTGCCACACAATGGAAAATTGACTGCTGTTCTTACTGTGCTCTATGAAGAGGAGAAGTGTTGAATCAAGAGAAAGCCAGGTCATTTCCTTAACAAGACCTGATCACAAAATCAAATGAAATGGCTGGGGATGTAGCTGAGTGAGGAAGGCACTCGCCCAGTATGGGCGACTCCCTGGATTTGATCTCCATTACCCCTCCCCAATGAGAGAAGGAGGAAGCAAGGGAGGGAGGCAGGGGGATGAAGGTGTATATCTCCTGCCTACCAAGTGGGAAACCTGAATTTTATTGCTGGAATAAAAAAGAAGGAAGGGAGGGAGGGAGGGAGGAAGGGAGGAAGGAAAGAAAGAATCTATTTTCACAAAGTACACTTAATCCCAAACCAAAACATAAGGTGTTGCAAAGCCAAATCTAAATGACCTTAGAATTTCCAGCCATTTTGCAGGATTGACAGTAACAGCCCCTTCCTTGAGCGCAAAGTATCCAAAGACAGAATAAATGTGTAAACACTTACGGGCTGTTTTGAGTTGATGAGATTTCAGGGTCTGGGGGCTAAACCTGGAGCAGCTTCGTTTCCACTGGATGGATACAGCTGACTTGTTTTCTGCTGTTTCAGTGGACCTTGAAATGATCTTGACCATTTGCTTCACTTCAGTGTACCCCATTTCTCCTCATTTGCAATCAGCACCACTCATGGAGCAAAATGTGTTAGTTCACGGTGGCTCTGATGATGCACAGGCATTTCCAAGTATCTTTTTGCTCCTGGGGAAAGGATGTCACATTACTTTTGCAAAAAATGGATGCAAAAAAAGGGCCAATATTCAATACACATGTTACACTGCAAAGAATGGGACCATACTATGTGTGTATTTTTTTTTAGTTACCTAACCAAAAAACAAACAAGCAAACAAAAAACAGGAGCTCTGAGCTGGCAGTAGAACCAGTAAAAGGGTTCCTTTTCATACCTGGGTTCCTATCTCAGCTCTCCAATTAATTAGTTGTGTGACTTCCAAAAGTCCCCCTACCCCTTCTGAGCCTCATTTTTATCATCTATATCATATCAACATCTGCTCTCATCCACAGGAATTATTTTGGCACAAAGCTTCAAGTCTTGAAGTCTTGGCTCTATGGTACTAAGAAAAAAAGATATAATTGGTTTATTATTGATTCTCCCATAAGAAGTTCTAATGGATTAAATTTTAACTTCTTGATGCATGCTAATTAGACAACTATTTAATTCTTTCTGTTGTTAATGCCTTTCTGATGATGTTTGAAGATTTTTGCTGTATGTAATTTAAAAAAAACCTCTGTCACACACACAAAAGATAATAATTGGTTCAAAGCAAAATGATTTCAGTAATTAGTTGAAAACTTTAAATCATTACTGCCCATCTGGGAAGTCTGGCAATGAGAGTGTTCTGTTAATGACAAAAATATTTTCAAAAGAACCAAAGGAGGAAAGAATGAAAATGTCAAAACTGAAGACAAGGGCCTTTATGGGTGCATCGTACAATTTTGCATAATCAGAATTACCTGATAAGCTTATTAAACATGTAGATTTCTGAACCTAAATCAGAAATTCTGAGTCACTACGAATAGAACTGGCCCCAAAATCTGAATATTTAACAAGTGACTTGGGTGTTTCAGAGGCAGGCAGCCTATTAAGGAGAATTTGAGAAATACTGGTCACTACTAATAAAATATAAGCATATAGTTAAGATTTTTAAATGCACTGAAGCAAAGAGAAACCAATAGTAAAATATGGACTCAATTCACTATGAAGTTTGGGAACCAAAGAGACAAAACTCTCTCAACAGTGAGTGATAAGGGAAGAATTCATAGGTATTTAATTCTTCAAAGTATCAATAAGGATTCTCTACAAGAATGACCATAAAGACCATAAAGGAAAATGGACAAACCTATGAACCAAAAAGGCCATGTAAAATTGGACAAAGGCTGTAGGAGGACAGACTGAAATGGCCAAAGGATAAATAAATTCTGTGATGGTAGAATTATTGAGGTCTGAAAAGATGGGAGATATCAGGAAAGCCACTGGTGAGAGAGTAAAATTTGTTCATCAAAAAGGAGAGTAACAGCCAGGTGTGGTGGCACACACCTGTAATCCCAGCACTCAGGAGGCTGAAGCAGGAGGATCGCTGTGAGTTCAAGACCAGCGTAGGCTACACAGTGAGTACCAGGTCAGTCTTAACTGCATAGTGAGACTCTGTCTCAAAGAAAAAAAGAAAAGAAAAGAAAAAAGGGAAAGTAAGATCCAACTAAGGGATAAAACAACAAAAACTTGAGTATTCTTATAGTTCTAAGACAATAATATACAATGTTCATGGAAAGTTTCTTGATGAGAAAATGTGTTCAATGTAAAAATATTTTTTAAGTTATTCTACAAAAATTGTAGGATAGGAAATGACAAAGTACTCTGAAAAGCATAAAAACTGTATCCCCAAAAAGCTCACATATTAAAAGCTCAGGTCCAAACTAGTGCTACTGGAAAGTTGTAGAACCTTTATGGGGTGCAGCCTAGTTAGAAGTTTGCAGGTTACTGGGGCTTGCCCTTGAAGAGTACTGTGGTACCTTAGTCTCTTTTTCCTCCCCTTTGCTTAATGACTGTGAGAGGAGGGGTGCATACTTCACACACTCTTGCCATTATATACCTGCCTTGCCAAGGCCTAAAAGCAACAGGATCAACCAATCATGAACCAAAGCCTCTAAAAAACTGTGAGCCAAAATAAACTTTTTCTCTTTATAAATCGATCATATTAGCTACTTGTTACAGTGATGATAAGGTGGCTAAGCCAGGATTGAAGAACATTTGATCTATTACAAAAGACACCAGAACAGAAGGATAAATTAAATGGAAGAATTCATAACTCTATAGCTTGCATCTTAAGTGTTCCCCTGAGGCCCATATGTTACAGGCTTGGTTGCCAGCCTGTAGTGTCACTGGGAAGTGGTAGAACCTTTAGTAGATGGGGTCTAGAAGAAGGAAGTTAACCAGGGCATGTTCTTCCAAGGGATATTGGAAACTGAACTATTCCTCTGCTAGTTTTAGCTTCCTAGCTACCATGAAGTGAAAAGCCTCTGTCACATGCTCGTGCTACAATGAACTGTGCTGCCACAGGCCCAAAGGAAGAGGGCCAAGTAACCATGGACTAAAGGCTCTCAAACTAAACCTTTCTCAAAATAAACCTTTCCTTCTTGTAAATTGATTATCTCAGGTATTTTGTCCCAGTGACTGCAAGCTAGCTAACACATATGGATAGGGAATAAAATTCCCCTCCCAATATGGAATATCTCCCAGCGTATGTTAATTTATTGTTGTCATTTTTAAACCCCTCTGCTTTTTTACACAGACCAACAAGTATCTCTGCCTCCTGAAATCCTTCCTGATTAATTCAGCCAAGCTTAATATTGATTATTTTGAATTCCAATCATTCTTTGGTCTCCTGGCTTCTTGATCCCATCAAGTATGTTACCAGTCAGATAATTCTTTTGGAGTGGTCAGCAGAATTCTAAGAAAAACACTGATACCAGGACTCCATCTCCTCTCTTACTATCCTAAAGTGAGCAGAGGCTGGTGTGGAATAGAGAAGGCATCTACATAGTTCTTGTATTCTCTCAGTTGATAAATCCTTCAAAATCAGTGCCCTTTTCTTTCTCATATAGATTTTTCTGTGCCTAACAGTTTAAGCAGAAAAAAAAAAATCTGTCTAGCCAGGTGTAGTGGCGCACACCTGTAATCCCAGCACTAGAGAGGCTGAGGCAAGAGGATCACTGTGAGTTCGAGACCAGTCTGGACTACATAGTGAGTTCAAGGCCAGCCTGAACTACATAGGGACATCTTGTCTCAAAAAACAAACAAACAAAATACAAAAGAACAAAAAATCTATTTTTCCAACGAATGGTATGAGGGGAGATTCCCAGAAAGGCCAGATGGTGTCACTACTGCCTAATTAATATTTCTGGCCCAGTGAGCAGTATCTGAAATGGCAGACCTTCCCTGAATTCACTGATTCTATTGTTGAACCTACTTTGGAATCTGTCCTATTTCCTAAGAAGTAGCTGAATAAACCTCATCAGGAAACAGTCAGCAAAACCTTAGCAGTGCAAATAATCTAGGTTCTCTTGTCAGAGTAATGGCGTGCCCTGAGGCTGTCATACTTCACGAGAAAAAGCAAGAACTAAAAAGAACAGAAGTCCTTAGTCCAAGGCCTAAGATTTCATTGCCCTAGGAGCTGGATTCTTGGCAGCAGCATTTGGAACAACAAGCTTCAGAATCAAACACTTAAGGAATTTTCAAGATAAACTAAACTCCAACAAGGTCAAGTTTTTTATTCACCTTTTACAACCTCATTAGTTTTCAGAAACACTTGAAGTTGTTACTAAAAAGTTTTGATTTTACTTGTATGTTGACTACTATCATTATTTTTTGCAAGCAAAAAAAAAGCATTTTCAAATATGATGTGCACAGGACTTGTGACAATAACTGTAAATGTGCTTCACAATATAGAAATCAAATACCTACGGCTTCCCCAGCAAACATGATCCATTTCAACTGCTATTATTATTTACTAAAAATTATTCCCAATTCCTGGATAAGTAAACTAAGCGAAGCTTACTGTATGCTGTTTATTACCATACATCTAGGGGACACGCAAGCTTTCATATCTGATTGTTAACAGATATACTAAGATATACTAAGAACAGTATGTGTTCCACAAGCAGTTTCTATACAAACTCAGACCAAGCTATATTTTAACATTTCTGAATTTCGATTCTTTAGTTACATTAAAGATCCATTGAAATGGTTCAAAGGAAATAAAAATCTAGATTTATGAGTCTAAAAGAGAACTTTATTCTTAGGTAATACCATGACTTGATCTTCTCCAATTGAGCACCTAAGTAGATTTCCAGGATAACCAGCCCCTTCTTTGTGCTGATCGACCAAAATATCATTCTGTGTTCAGAGGCTTAAATTTCAATGAAGAAGGAGGCATTAAATGGTAAACAGATCTCCAGTAACAGAAATGTCTTCCTCCTCTCGCCTTGACCAAAAGCTTTTGTTAGCTGGGTGGCTCTACAGAGAACTTGAACCTCTAATCACCCCTACATTCCTCTCCTTCAAGACTTAAATATCTATTTATCTTCTGAATGAACAGCCAGTCTCTACTTACATTTTAAAATATTCCACAGAATGTTTGTGTGTTCTTGGCTGCTGATCACTCATTTCCTTTACAGGGTATTAAGATAGTACCATCTGTTCCCCACTTGGTACTGAAGAAGCTGTGGTCTTCAGCAGTTAACTCGTTACGTCCCACCACTCTATTCAAAGACCATGTCAAGGGAGTTTACAGGTTTTCCTTCCACTCATTTCGAGGAAATCAATTTTGTTGTGATGCAGGGTGCTGAACTTGGAGCGCTGGGATTTCCATCATGAAATAGTAACAGTGGTGTCAGGAAGAAAAGTAGAAGAGGAAGAAGGACAAACAGGAAGAGGGGGAAGAGGAAGAAGAAGCTACATCTATGTTTAGCCAAGTCTCATTCTCACTGGAGATGATCTTTAGTGACTGTAATTTTTAAAAACCCATTTCCTCTTTTAAAATTTTTGTCAGTATATGTTTGACGTATATAATGATTGCATTCATTGTGGGGCATTGGTACATGCACACAACACATCTTAATTCTTTTCATATCCTTTTCCCGTCCCCTCCCTGCTTCCTGACTCCATCTCTTGTTCCTCTTCCCAC